CGCCATGTTTCCCTGTAGACTGTGTCTTACTCTTATTCACGAACAATAACATTATTAAAAGAGCCCTTCCGCCGACTGAACCTCACTGTGATCGAGAGGGAGTCGTCCCATTGTTTGTAGGTTGATCCTAGGCGGGGATTTGGACCGGACAGTTTACATGTTCGCGGGCGGGGGGGGGTAGTAAGGAGTTTTGTTGTCGACCTGGAGGCAGTCTATTTTGTTTGTGAGGGATTTGCTTTGTCATGTGTTTTGGACAGTCCGAGCGGGGAGGTCGGCGGCGAGCCAGGAGGTAACCACGGCGTACCAACTCAGCGTCTCTCGTGCCGCCAGCGAACGTGCGGCAGGATAGGTTACTCCGCTCCTCCGCCTCGATCAGTCTGAGGCTCAGCGACCTAAGAGGCTCCTCGAAGCAGAAGCAGTAGAGAAGTCAAAGACTCCCGCATTTCTCTTTCTATATTGAAATAAGTACGTGGTGGCCGTTGTCTATATTGAAATAAGTGACTGGTGGTTCTTGTCATCATGAAAAAAGTATGACGTGTGCCTTGTACCTATATTGAAATAAGTATGACAATCGCTGTCTATATTGAAATAAGTATGACTCGTGCTTGCTATATTGAAATAAGTATGACTTTGCCTTGTCTATATTGAAAAGTATGGACGTGTGCCCTTGCTATAATTAAATAAGTATGACCTGTGTGCTTGGCTATATTGAAAAAGATGACTGGTGCCTTTCATGATTGAAATAAGTATGACTGGTGCCTGCTATATTGAACAATAAGTCATAGACTGTGGTGCCTTGTCATAGAATAAAGTAGACAGTGTCGCCTTGCTATATTGAAACTAAGTATGACATGTGCCTTGCTATATAAAAAGATGACGTGTGTGCCTTGTCTATATTTGAAATAGTATGACCTGTCTGCCCTTGTCTATATTAATAAAAGTAGCGTTCGCCTTTCTGCCCTCGTCGTTGTAGATAAATATATAATGGGAGTCGCGAAGGAGAAGCGCACCAACTCAAGGACTGCGAGAGCAGCAGCAAGAGTCCAGACGTGCAGTGAGAAGAGACAGTCCAGTCTGCGTCACAGGACGACCGTCCTGTCGTGCGGTGCCTGACTATATCTCCTCTCCACAAAGTGGAACTAGTTTATTTATTTACACACACACCAGCACGACACACCACCACACACACATGGACCGAGCCATCAGGTCCGAGAAATAAGTGTGACTCCCAGAACGACAGCGAGCCGACGAGCGGCGGAAGAACAGTGACGATGTGTGTGAATCCTCCCGCCCCCCCGACGCCCGGAAGCACCGACGCGCGGCGAAGATGTGTGTGCGGGGTGGTCCATTTACGACCCGTAAGTTCGCTTACCACAATACTCACACACCACTCCATGACGGCCACGCTACACCTTGACGCACACTGCCGAGCAGGACTCCCCTGTCTGGGACCGCTCTGGTGGTCAGAATAATATTGGTGTGGGCAGTCTCTGTCTTGGGGGGACGACGGGGGTGGCGGGGAGTGGACAAGGTCCGGAGGTTCGTCGGGACACTGGGGGACACAGGAGGTGACCAAGAACATGAACAGGAAGACCTAGACCAGTCAAACCGGTGGAGGAAGGCTAGAGGTGGTACGCGAGGAAGTCCACTTCACCAAGCGAGGGGGAACCAGTCGGCTGGGGAACCCTTGTAGACTATGAGGTGAGATACCTGCTGACACACACTACACACAACACCCCAAAGACAACTCCTACACAGAACAACACACAATAACACCCGCCACTCGTCCGCTCCTTAGCAATATAATACCTTTTCTGTGCGTAGTTTGATATTAAAACATCACGTAACAACAACAACACACTCCATATAATCTATATCGTCATCACCTCCTCACCGAAAAAGAAGTCCCACCTTTCACACTCAAAAAAAACAACCTTGCTCATTCTAGTTTCTACCTACAAGAAGTGCTCGAGTCCACCAGTTGAAAGACTACCAGGAGCCAATCTACACGAGTGTGCGACATTGGGTTAGTGTCGGGAAGTATTGTTCATAGTATAACTAAGTCTGTAACCTTGCTTATCAGTTATGCACACAGACCCACACACACACAGCACGCTAGTGCGACCCCCAAAAAACCGCCAACGAGGAAGTTTCAACCCAAAGGAAAAACTGAACTTCGCCGCAGCCTCGGAGCTAGAGCGTCGTCGAGGATACGCCCCAAAATAAAAAGACGGTGTGTTTGTGTGGGTGTGTGTGTGTTGTGTGTGGTGTGTTGGTGTGTGTGTGTGTGTGTGTGGTGTGCTGTCGCGTTGTGTGTGTTGTTGTGTTGTGTGTGTGTGTGGTGTGTTGTGTGTTGTGGTGGTGTGTGTGGTGTGGTGTGTGCGCGTCCGTGCTCGTGTGTGTGTTGCTATAAGACCGTCCCCCACAGAGTCCACAAGGTAGAGAAATAAAAGAACTTAGTGCCACTCGTAGCACCAAAACAGCCAGGCCGACCCCACTCGCTTAGACCTCCCCCGGACGTCGTAGCTCAGTCCACTCCCCCCGACAACTTCCGCACCCCACGAGAATCCACTTCTCACCCCTCGACGACTACTTCGCGCTCTTCCTCCTCCTCGGGATACATCAGTACACCTGAAACACCACACACACACACACACACACACACACACACGACACACACCACACACACACACTACACACACCCACCCACACACCACCACCACACCACAGCACACACACACACAACCAACACACACACACACACACCGGGTCGACTGGTGCCAACGCATGACTTGGAGCATTGCAAGCGACCAGGAGGCGCGTCGGAGAACTGGTGCCCTATAAGAGGGAAGGAACAGGTACTGAAGGTCCGGCGGAGGCGTACCGCGGACGCGCGCCCCCGCCGCCCACGCGCCCCCAAGTTGACCAATCTCTGTCGCACGTCCCATCCCTGGGCCTACCGCACACACAGTACACTACGACAAGTGAGCTCTCGCATGCGGCTCGCGCCCCCACCGCCCCGTAGAAGGAGCACAGAAGCCGCAAGTCCTGCGAGCGGCGGAAAAGGGCAGGGCGGCACGTCGGCCCCAGGCCAGAGACGAGAGGACTTTCCTCCTCCTTCTCCTCCGTAGTCTGGTCCTCGATGCTCGACATTTTGCCACTCCCGCTTCTGGACACATTCGCACCTTGGTCTATCCGAAATCTGCCTCTCGGTCCCTCTTGATTGCCTTCTGATCTTGGTCCTCCTGATTTTCGAAATTCTGACTTCGGTCCTCGCATTGCTCGAAATCTCATCTTGGGTCCTTTGATGCTCGAAATCTGGTCCTCCCTTATTGCTCGAAATTCCTGAATCTTGGTCCTCTGATTGCTCGAATCCTGGTCCTCTGATTGCTCGAAATCTGACATCCCTGCTTCGCTCGCAACCGCAACGTGGTCTCTTGATGCTCGGAAATTCTGGTCTTGGTCCTCTGATTGCTCGGAATCTGGTCTTGGTCTCTCTGATTGCTCGAAACCCCCCCTCTCTTCGGCTCCGCTTGGCTCCGACACTTGCGCGCCCTCTGACTCTGCCGACTACCTCGGGCGTCCCTCCACTCTGATCGGTCCTCCGATTTGGCCTTCGCTCTCCTTGCCCGGACTTCATGCCGGTCTGATTGCTCGAACTCTTCCTGTCGCCCTTGATCTGCTTCACCCGAAATTCTGTCTGTCCTCACCTGATTGGTTCAAACTTCTGGTCTTGGTCCTCTATGCTCCGGAAATTCTGGTCTTGGTCCTCCTGATTGTTCGAAAATTCTGGTCTTTGGCCCGAGTGCCCTCAAATCCGGTCCTCTATTGCTCCGCCATCTGCCTCCCATCTCTCCGAAATTCTGACATCACTGTGATGTCATCATAGAGCAGTGGTTCTCAGCTAGTCAGGCCTCAGGACCCACTTTTTCCTTTGTCAATAAATCACAACCCGAAATTTGAACCACTCGAATCTATTCAACAAAACATTGTGCTGTAATATATAAGAGAGTGAAGTACTTTGTGGGTAAGGGGAGATAGCCCCCATTGTTCTGTGACCTGTCAATCATCAAACCGGGGGTCATATTTCATTACGTGTTCATTTCTATCTGAAGTTGTACCCATGGATGTATAAATACTAGTTCTACCGCAAAGTTATTCTCCGTGGGGACTTCCGGCAACAATCTTGATTCTGATTGGCCAGAAGACTCGAAAAAACATCAGCAAAGATGTTTTATCGAGAGATGATCACTCAGTGACAGAAGTTGTTTTCAAATCCGTCTTATGGTCTCTCGGTACTTCCAGTCCAACGCCGACTGCATGCAGAGCATTAGAACATCGGGGCTTCAAAATAAAAGTCTCGCCTTTTTTTCCCCAAAAGAAAAAAATAATTTTTTTCACTCACACATCCTGACCCCCACTCGAAACGGGTCCGCGACCCACTTCAAACGGGTCCGCGACCCACTGTCATAGACATTTAAAAAAATCACACATATTTGATTTTTTTAAATATTATTATTACACCTGATGAATATGACCTTTATCATAAATTAATAATATTTCACAGGAAAGCAAACCATTCAAACGGTGCCACAAGAAAGAAAAGTAGAATAATGCACTAATAGATATATCCAGTTATGAGGATAAAGGAACGAGAGACTCGTCCCTCTAATGACCTGCTGTTTGACACCAAGCTGCTCCACTGGGTCCGAAGGCGAAAGGGGTAATGTTCCTGAGGACAGCCCCTGAGTGTTAGAGTTACAGACAGACCCTGAATGCACCCCCCCCCCCCCCATAGAATGATGAGACGGAACTCAGAGTTCAAGTTTCATTTTTATAGACATCTGATGAATAAGATCTGTAATATAAACAAGCCCGCCCCTCCCATCACAATAAATTAATCTGACCTCTGACCCCCCCTCAGGCCTTTGGCACGTTACCAACGGATGACCCCCTTCTGCTCACATTCGTTACATAAAGTTACCAAACTTTATAAAAAGGGACCCCTCTCACCCAAAAAAAAAAAAAAAAGTTTTGCTCATTCACACATCGACCAATCAGAATCGATCCTCAGCGACGCCTTCAAGCACCAGTCGATTTTCTGGCTGCTTCCAAAACCAGAAGTATCAAATATCATGGTTATCATCTCAGGGGCATTAAAACTGACTAAATTGGCATAATCTGGGAGCATGACAGCATGAACAGAAACCTGGAGACTGAAGACCCCCCTGAACCTCCACCTGATCACACACACACACACAGCTACGCACACGCACACAGTCATAGGGTCCAGCAGCTTTCTGGTGCAGGTACTGGCTCACGTCCTCGGATGCCGCTCAGCTTCTCCAGCTCTTGGTATGGGCAGCTGAGGAAAGAGAAGCAGGTTAGCTTAGCGCATAAATGCCCCTAGCAGCAGAGCTACGTCAGCTGTGAGTGGAGAGACAGGAGTGTGTGTGTGTGTGGTGTGTGTGTGCGTGTGTGTGTGTGTGGTGTGTGTGTGTGTGTGTGTGTTTGTGTGTGTGTGTGTGTGTGTGTGTGTGACCATCGCAGTGTATACCCCAGCAGCCTCAAGGTGGCGATCCCTCATCGGATCTGGAGCCCACCAAGCACCTGGGAGTTGTGCAGAATGCCACTGATATCGTTAACGGAGCAGCACCACCCTGCAACACAGTAACGACATCAGCATGACATTAGCATGGACATTAGCATGACATCAGCATGACATTAGCATACATTAGCGTGACCATCAGCATGACATTACGTATTGACATCAGCCTTCAAAGAGCAGTAACTGTTGTGAAAATCCTGAGTGCCTCTTCCATATGAGAGTAGCATGATAACAAAGGTATTCCCAACTGTAGCTGAAAACCATGACAGGATGTGTGATTGCCCTTGAAGAGCATACCAGGACTGTTTGAGAATTTTGGAGAAAAGGTCCGAATTTTGAGTTTTTGACAGAAAATATCCAACACATTGATTTCTTTTTTTGAACACTTCCATTCTTGACACTCCATGTAATCTGCCCGCCCCCCCTCCTCGTACCCTCCGGATGTGTTCTGCTCGCCTCTCGTTCCTGAGGGTGGGTGCAGCCTCCACGGCCCCCTCACACGTAGAAGCCACAGTCCCGAGCCCCCCCTCGTTCCTCCAGGATCCTCCCGTGGAGAAACTGGAAGAGAGGGCTGGGGGGGGTGCCCGGGGGGGCCCCTGGAGGGTGGGCCCAGGCTGTCTGAGGGGGGGCTGCTGAGCGTGGAAGCTGTTCTCTGACATGCTGTTGTAGATCTCTGGAGCTTCTGTAGGAGGCCTCCGTTAGGCCGGTAGGCAGGAAGCACTCTGAGGCCCGCCCCTCGAGGGCTTCTGAGGCCCCCACCCCTGGACCAGAGGCTCCCCCTTCCTCCTTCCCGAACGAACGGAGAAACTTTGGAACTCTGAAGTCCTCCCACGGCAACGCGCAGAGTCCAGCCACAGGGGACGCACGGCAACGCGGACGCACCGGGCAGAACCCGACCAGAGGGACCAATCAGCAACAAGAAGTCTGAGAACAATAAAAAAACAGGAACAGAATGACACACCTGGTAACACACCTGAGTACTGTAGTTAAATGGTGTAGCATATCTGCATACCTGTGTGGTGTACCTGTGTAGTTGTAGAGTATACCTGTGTAGTGTAGAGTGTACCTGGTAGTAATAGAGTACCTGTGTAGTGTAGAGTATACCTGTGTAGTATCCTGTGTGTGTAGAGTATACTGTGTATGAGATAATACCTGTGTAGTATACCTGTGTAGTGTAGAAGTATACCTGTGTAGTGTAGAGTGTACCTGTGGTGTATACTGTGTAGTGTACGAGTATACCCTGTGTTTGTTGTTCGTACCTGTCAGAGTGTCACCTGTGTAGTGTAGATATATCTGTGTATTATACCTGTGTGTAGAAGTGTAGCGCTGTGTAGTATCACTCTGTGTAGTGTAGAGTATACCCTGTGTTGTCGTTGTGTATGCAGAGTCGTAACCTGTGGTGGTAGTGTCATGTGTGTACCTGTGTAGTATACTGTCGAGTCCGTAGAGTAACCGCGGGGGGGGGGGTAGTGTAGAGTAATACCTTGTAGTGTAGTGTACGAGTGTACCTGTGTAGTAACCTGTGTAGTATAGGTATAACCTGTGGTGAGTGTAGAGTATAACCTGTGTAGTATAGAGTATACTGTGTAGTGTAGAGTGTACCCTGTGTAGTTATACCTGTGTAGTATACCGTGTAGTGTAGAGTATACCTGTGTTGTGTTGTGTAGTGTAGAGTGTACCATGTGTATGTAGAGTATACCTGTGTATAGTATAGCCTGTGTAGAGTGTAGCCTGTGTAGTAACCATGTTGGAGTATAGATACTACCTGTGTGTGTAGAGAATATCCTGTGTAGTAGTTAGAGTATCTGTGTAGGAGAGTGTACTGTGTAGTTAATCCCTGTGTAGTTGTAGAGTATAACTGATGATCGT